TCATGTGATCACATTTTCTGGCAATCAAAGTCAATGAGAAAGCCAGAGTCACTTAACAACAGTGTTACTAATTTAACACAAATGTGGCGGGGAAAATTGTAAAATGGGGCAAAGCTCACTTAACAAATTTATCACTTAGTAATAGAAATGTTGGGCTCAATTGTGGTCGTAAGCCGAGGAATACCTGTACTATATGTATAGCTATACAGTGTCAACACTGAACCCAGAAAGATGCTAGATCCTAAATATGTTCTATAAGAAGAATGCAGTTCAACTTAAAAAGGTATATCACTCAAATTCTGAAAGTCATTCATTGAAGTCAGCTTTTATTCTGTTGTTCAAAATCAGTTTATGTTCCTGCGTCTAACCCCTTAGAGTTTAAAGACAAGTGATGTCTCCCAATATATTATATCCCTTTTGCAATAAAAGAGCAGTGCATTTGGGTATCATTAGTATTCAAGGTAGCAACTAATTCTGTATCCACATATGATTGTTTCCAGTATCTTCAGAAAGCTATTAAATATCATGGAGGACAAGACAAAGATATCAAGGTGACTCCCAATGTCACTATCTCATAGCTCAGAATGGTAAAATGGTAATGGGAAACCACCATAAACTGATATCTCCAAAAACCTTCAAGCATGCTAAAAAAAATAGCATTATCAAAATCCATAGAAAGATTCAAGGATATCAATAAGAATGCACTCTCTCTACATGTCTTCCAATACAGGTAGTCCTTGACTTACAATAATAGTTCATTTAGTAACTGTTCAACAGCATTGAAAAAAGTGACTTATGACCATTTTTCACGCTTATGACCGTTGCAGCATCCCCATGGTCACATGATCAAAATTCAGGCTCTTGGCCATTGACTCTTATTTATAACAGTGGCAGCGTCCTGGGGTCATGTGATCACCTTTTGCAACTTTCTGACAAGCGAAGTCAATGGGAAAGCCATATTCACTTAACAACCGTGTGACTATCTTAACAACTGCAATGATTCACTTAACAACTGTGGCAAGAAAGGTTGTAAAATGAGGCAAAGTTCACTGGACAAATGTTTCACTTAGCAACATAAATTTGGGCCTCAATTGTGGTCATAAGATGAGGATTATCTGTACACAGGACATCAGAGCAACCAAGAAACTTTTCTTGGCTCCTTGGAAGAACAATAGCCCTTTGTAGTTTTAGTCTTCAGAACTCTCACTTACTTTTCCCCCCCTCTTATTTTCCTTATGTTTGTGGCTTCTGAAACTCATGCAGTCTCAAAGGTACTTTCAATTTTATGCTATCATATCAGCCCTTTCATAGCTAAGGCCTGTCCAGGATTTGGCTCCTAAGCTTTGGAATCAGGCAATGTCTTATTTTGAAGATATTTAAATATAGTTTTAAAATATGTTAACTGCAATTCAGGATAAACTGGAAAAAGCTGATGACAATCAGGGGAATATTAAAATCTAATCTTCTGCCAAGCAGGTAACATGGAGATATTTAAATTTACTGACATATGGATTTAATTCCATACTTTTATTGGAAATTGTGATAGGATATAGTATTCATGTTTAATTCAGTTTGCTGCACTCCAACCACCTTCTCCACAACTTTTCCCAAAAGGTGGACTTTGAAGATTTAATAAAAATTATCCAGAACGGTTGAATCCAGAATTAGTTTGAGTCTTAAGAAGGATACTGCCTTCTTTAAAACAGATGGAACAGGGTTTTTTAAGAATAAATTCACTAATGTTGGGACTAAATTACAGACCATCTCTTTTAGACAATTGTAAAACAGAAAAATCATGTTCTTCCATGTATTTTATACATCTATGCAATTGTATTCAGAGTTAAATTTCTGTGCATTCTTATCAACTAAAGTTAAAAGGATGATCATTCAAGAGAGGACCTTCAAAGTAGCATCCTAACTGTGTGGGGTGAGGGATATTTAGTGTAAATATATACAGTATATGTAAAGGTAAAGATTCCCCTTGCACATATGTATTAGTTGTTCCTGACTTTAGGGAGTGGTGCTCATCTCCGTTTCAAAACTGAAGAGCAAGTGTTGTCCGAAAACATCTCTGTGGTCATGTGGCCAGCATGGGAGTAATGGGAGCTCACTCCGTTACACGGTGCTAGGGATTCAAACTGCCGAACTGCCAACATTTCTGATCAATAAGCTCAGCGACTTAGCCACTGATCCACCATATCCTTTGTGTATATCTATGTATGTACATAGATACACACAGGTTTTCCCTTGATGTGATGCCTTCTTGTGGCATTTTCAGCACCACAAGAAGACTGCTTTATTCATGCAAGAATACTTTTTCTCAACAATTTTTCATCAAAGCATTTCTGCAACTTCATTATCTTTGTTGTTGCTTTTCATTATCACAGTTTATATTCCAATAGTCTGTTTTTCCTCCTATGGTCCACTTAGAGAACATTTATTAATAAACAAGATTCCTCCCCATATCTGATTGCTCTTTAATTTGTTGAATCTCATCTCCCAGAATTCTCACTAATAACAAAGGAAGCCAAGGAATTCAGGAAGTTGAAGTTCACATTTCTGAAAGCACCCAAGTTGGGAGAAGCTACTGTGCCATATCAACAAACAGACAAATAATATTTCCCTAATGTTTGTATTATTTTTTTAGAGATTCCTCAAAAGAATCATTGTTAAGCCTGTTTGTCCATGGTTCATAATGGCCCAAAATTTATTTCAACCCCCAAAATATCTGTTTTTTGCATTCAGGTGGATTACTTTTGATCTCACAATTGCTCAGAGAAAAAGTGCAAAATAAGATGACCACAGCTATTATAGATAGCTTTAAGCTTAACTCTTCTATAGTCATCCTTGTAATTCAATTTAAAGCGTTCCATTAGCCTTTGTGGCAGTAATAAACTTTGTCTGCAGGATCTAAAGCAGACAGTATTACATTTCTTTTCAAATTAATGCATTTACTTCAGAACTGCAGGTTGTCTCTAGAGTAAGTCTGATTTAAGAAGGAAATGTGATGGAGGGATAAGTAGAGGTGGCAATAGATGGAATTCTTACATGATTCTAGAATTGCATATGCAGTAAATATTTCCACCAGAAAACACTGATACACCGGTTTATACCTAATTATAGTTTTAAGTCATGATTCTGCAACTAGTTTTTAACCCAGATTTCCATATAATGGAGCTAAGATGTGCAGTTATTTGGGTGTCCTCTCCTGGAGTCTGTGTCTCCGAAGGGTTTGAAATTTGGAGATGGAACGAGCAAATGCTATCTACACCCTGGAAATCTCAGAGCTGATTAAATCCTGAAATTATTAGCGTCAGCTAAATTGGAAAGAAGGCAAGGAATTAATGATGGGCTTTGACAGCTCTACCAACTGTTATTGTTCTTTTGGATTGAAGCATCTACAAGGAATTAAATTAATTGATTGAACTGATTAAATGTTAGTAGCAAACTAAGGAGAGAAAGAACTAGAAATGGAAGGATAGTTATGAGCAAATTGGATTCAAGGCAGACAAATGCCTTGTTATTCAGTTTGACTTTGATTTGCTTGGTTAAAGTTGAGTCCCCTTTATTTCATGTGTATGGATCATCACCCAAAGAATAGACCCCTGCTGTAAAGCCAGGTCTGGTGTCACAAAAGGTTGAAAAACATTTTACAGCTGATGCTGTAACATGTCCAACATAACCGTCCTTCTATTTTCCCCACCACAAAAACCTTGGGAGGTAGATTGAGCTGAGAGAGACTGTCCCAAAGTTACCCAACTGATTTTCATGGCTAATGTAGGACTTGAACTCATCGTCTCCTACTTTCTAACCTAGTGCTTTAACCATTGTCTGGAGTAACAATACAACACGTAAAATGCAGACGGAACAAATATATGAAGAGTGAACAGTTTGAGAGGAAGAGGAAGATTTTTAAAAGTTTTGATGGGATGAAATTGATGAGATCCTCAAAAAAGAAAGAAGTCAGAAGATTAAACCACAAATGACAATATATAAGGGGGGTTTGGATATAGATCGAAACAAACAAGTAGTTTTCAAACAAAGAAAAGTGAAGTACTCAAAGGAGTTGGTAAATAAGATACATTGTAGTTATATTCTTTCTCCCTCTCTCCCCCCCCCCCACCTCTTCTTCCATTTCTTTGGCTTTCTATTTCTTGCTCTCTTTGAACATTGCAAAATGTTACTTATCTCAAAAAGAAATAACATGGTTGATATGTACGTGTGGATATTACAACGTTTTGGTTTATTGTGGATATGTGGATTTGTATACTACTTGTATTCCTTTTTGGATGTTCTTTCTGTACTCAGTTCAGCAAATAATTTTTATAAGGAACTATATGAAGTATAATAAAATACCATGCCAGGAGCAGGAGACTTGCCTTTCTCCACCCCTTTATCCATCCCACAGTGTCACAAAGATCAATTCTAAAATTGAACCATAGGCAAGAGGGTCTGAGACAACTCACTGTGGCCAATTCAACATGACCAAGTTGCCAGGGCCAACTTGCTGCAGGACAACTCACCACAAGATAAGAGTTACACTAATATTGCAGAAATGGTGGAATAGAATCATTAAAGAAAGGATGCCAAAGGAGGGAGAATATGAAATGTGAATAACAAAAAATAAAATAATGTCTTAATTATCTTAAATAATTAAATCAAATTGTTGAATTATGCTGTGTCAAGTTGTACCATAGTGAGTTGGCCATGAAGCATTCTGCAGTGAATTGACCATAGCATGATAGCCATGACGAGTTGGCCACAGAGAATTGGCTGCGGTGAGTTGCCCCATTCTACAAGCAGGAAAATGATTATTGACTCAGACATCATATGGTAACCCCCATAATACCTTGGACAAAGTGATTTTTGTTTTTTTTGTTTTTAACTAAGATACTGATTATTTGTAACATGTCATAAAAAGGCTAAAACTCTTTAACTCTTTTGTTCTGAGTACATGCATACTGAGATTTATCCCTTTCTATTTCCATTGTTTCTTCTAGCCACTACATCTACTACTGGGACAAGTCATCTCACAAGATGTGATGTGAATAAGAAAGGCTACTGTGTAAATGGGGGTGAATGCTTCATGGTCAAAGATCTTCCAAACCCAAGATATTTATGCAAGTACGAGAATCTTTCCAGTGAAGCTACAGTATTTATTGCTTTAATGGATGTTTCATATGGTAACACTGTTTAACCTAAAGAACATATGTTATGAACTGATGACAGCTTTTTTTATTCTCCAAAATAAGAGTTAAACACCATCCCAAGTCATTTCCCTTGTTTCCAAAACATGAAAATGCTATTGTATGTATGGTTTAAATTAGATTAAATCCATATATAAAATTATTTAGCCAAAAAAAGGAATAACAATCTGTTAGACACAAAAACATCACTTTTTTTAAAAAAAATATCCCCAATACATTAAAATAAAAGGGCCACTATTTTGTTGCCCAATTTGCTTCCAGATGTATTGGACCATCATACTCTGTTGACATGGCCAATGACTGCATTTCATAAAAATTATCAGACCCATAAGTCAACATAGCTAGAGGAAACCAGTTTGAAGGGCTACACAAAATGAATCTGTAGTTTGACTAGACGATATTGTTCATATGGTAAAAGCATTCAAAAATTTTAATGTTAGTCATGCATTTGTTTGGAGAGAAAAAACATGTTTTAAATTAAAACACCATTTACAAAATACAAATATGAAATATACACATGCATATGCTTTCTCTCTTTCATTAAAACAAGACTTTCTGAAATTATTCCATAATGTTTGCTAGATCAATGACCTGTGATAGCTTAACATTGTGTGGTAGGGCTGCCACAATTGACTTTCCAATATTTTTCAAGCTGAAAGTTGTTCCAGAAACATTGCAACATAAGCACATACTCTGTGAACAATTAGATAATTAATTGGATGGAATTCTAAAATGTCTCATATTTTGGCAACAGCAAATAAAGATGGCTTATCTTTTACGATTGCTTTATGAAATGCAACTAAGTGGGGGGGAATGCTAAAATAGTCTATTTCTTTTTTTAGAATCTAGATCCCAGAGTTTAGTTAACCTTGATACTATAGTGTCATATCCATTTTCCTCTATAATCCTGATTTAACGTGATGTATTTTTAAAATATATAAATGCAGCTGTTTAATATTCATATTATAAACTTCATACCAAATTAAGAATACAATTGCTACCTAATGGATATTCTTACATTCCTTTGTTTTCAATAACCAAAGAGTGTGTTTGAGCACAATTGGAAATTATCAAGTGCTTTCCATTTCATACCACTTCTACTGTATTGCTCATAATAACATTCAAGTCCTGATATAATTATATGCAAGAATGGATAAAGCAGAAATATCAATTTCATTCAGATAAAATGTCATCCCAACCGTAGTTAAAATGTTCAGACTGGAAAACAAATTTGACCAGTGAAGTGTTATAAAGACCACACTGAAGAGTAATATGGGTCCAGTTTTTGACAAGCAAAGTCAGTGAGGAAGCCTGGTTCACTTAACAACCGTGTTACTAATATAACACCTGCAGTGATTCTTTTAACAAATATGGCAAGAAAAATTGTAAAATTGGACAAAACTCACTTAATAAATTTCTCAGCAACATAAATTTTGGGTTCAATTGTGGTCATAAATTGAGGACTACCTGTACAATGTCTTGATATAATTTGTCCTAGACAGGTAGCATTTAGATATTTCTGTTCTTGCTTTAATAATAAATTCATATTTATTGTATATGATTTACTTTTTGAAAAGCAAAACAATATTTCCTTAAGCTGAAATGCAAACCATAACATTTCAGATAATTTTTCTATTATCAGACATTCTCTGTTTCACTGACAACTTGGGATTCAAATGTCTTTATAGCGAACAAACTTATCAGTAAAATATTTGACACTAAGAAAATTTCCTAACAACTGAAAACTCTAATTCTAATTCATATTACACAGTCAGGTCATTGTTTTGCTAATGTCAACCTTAGTCTTCAAGCATAGAGAATAATTAATGCAGTGTTGGGAGGTCTTCATTTTAAACATGTAGTCAATGTGTAATCAACACTGCTACAGTGCTGTTATAGTCACTCTTGCTTTTATAACTTGTTTTAAAAAATATATTAATCAAACCACATGTTTTGCTATTTTCAGAAATAATCAGAGTTTGAAGTTCTGAAGTTGAAGTTCTGCTTGAGTTAGGAAGAGAGAACGCAATTTGTTTTGTGTTTTTCAAAAATTAATTCATGTTCACCAATTACCGGGATCCATGAATAATGGTGCTATTTACTCAAAAGGAACTATTGGTATTCTTGAAATAGGACACATTTTTTACAGGCTATTCTGGTTTATTTGCCAATAAGGCCTTTCTGAAACTTTCACAAGCTAGATTGTTGATAAAATAGATTTTTAAAAACCTTAGCATCTCTGATTTGATGAAGCCCTTCTGAAAAAGAATGTTTGACACATACTAACATTTGCTGTACTTCAGCAAAATAGTTTCAAAGTGCTATACTTTAAATAGTAAATGCTATACTATTTTGGTCAGGGTATATTTCAAGCAAACTGCGACTACTATACAGGAGTTTGAAAAACATATTTGGGAGAAAATGACCCTTCAATGTTAAGCATGAAGAAAAAGTTGTATATTTTTAGAATCCCAACAACTCTATTCATAAAAACAGTAACCTGCGACTCATACATCATTTACTTACTGAATTTTCAAATAATTGCACTTTTCACAGGGGGAAAAAGGAATGATCCATTGTTTTTTTAGATTTTTTTAAAATCGATAATTGAAATTAGAAAAGTAAAAAAAAGCAAAATGTTTAAAAAGAGATTGAATTTGGATTGGATTCAGGCAGCAAATAAAAATTACTAGCAATCAGGAACAAGAGGGTTTTTTTTTTATAAACCCAGCACAATTTCTTTGTATGAGACTTTGTTTAAATAAAACAGGGATGATGAGTTTTTGTATGGTATAAAATTTCAAGCAAGTTTTTTCTCTTTTTCTCTCTTTCAATGTGGCATTTCTTTTCATCCCTTAGATTCAAAATAATGCTGAACAAAAGCAATGAAATCTAGTTCAATTCTAGTGGGGATTCTTTTCTGTTTTTTTATTCCATAGCAATAGCTATAGCAGTGATAGCAATAAAAAAGCACATTTTCTGTGGCAAATCCAATGTGAGCCACTGTAACCTTTCCAAATGGCTTTGAACTTATGTTCTAAAGAAAGTTCAATAATCCCCACCATTAAGTTACATCGCATTTTATAGATGAGATTTTCTTCTCTATCTTTTTTTTTCCTTCAAGGATATGAACAATATATTTTGCTGTCTCAGGAAAATTGGGTGCATGGTGGACCTTTGACTATACTGGCTAATTAAAATTAGCCAGCATAGTCTAAATAGACAGAGGAAATGATAAATGCTTCCCTGTAAGATTATAAATTACCTGCAGTATTAAAGGACAATACAATTAGAACATGTCTTTAAAAACCCATTATCCACATTTCTCTTTCCTAGATTATTATTATCCCTTTTTAAATGTTCTCCATTCAGACCAAAGTATTTGAATGTGTGTTACAGTCCCAATTTCACACATTTTTGGATTAAATAATTAATTAGACCAAATTAATGGTGAAATATCCACAATTGTGGAATCTGTGATATTGTAATCTGCCAATTTGTATAAATCACGTCAAAGTAAAGTCTCTTGAACTGAGAAATTAGCTTTACCTAGAAACTGAACTAAATTAACTGGTTTAAAAAAAATGAATTTGTTTTGCTGACCATTCTTTGTTTTATAAGCATTAAACATATATTTAATCCTTACCAATCTGCCAAAAACTATTAACATTTAACAACCCTGATTTAAATTCTTGATCTAGATCTATTAGAGTTCAGATTCTGGTCTTGAAACTTAACTATAACCAATTGAAATGTACATGCATACATATACACGTATGTATGTACATACCCATTATGCTATTCCCTTTGTTATGTACAACACAGAAAAGACTAATAAACAGTGACCCAAAGAAATTAAACACACAAAATAAAGAAAAAGAGAAGCATATAGATATTTCTTCAATCATAGATATAGTGAAATTTCATCTGAAGAATTAGATGTAGAGGTTGAAGAATCTAGAGAATGCATCTAATGCAAAGTTCTTGATAAAATCAAAAAGAACATTTTGGGAGCAGAGCATTCCTATATGATGGAGGCTCCCAGTTTTCTCCTGAGGTAAATTCAAGTCCTGTTGCTTAATTTCCAAGAGTTTACATCCTCTGAGGAATTGCTTGTTTCAATATAAGTCTGTTTAATCTTTACAGAGGACATTTTATTACCGATTTTCCTGAGGCATGGGTACAAGTTGGGGGGGGGGGGCTAAAGCTTTGGAGTTTCTTCTTGGAGTCCTGTTTGGCCAGTTTGCCTCCTTTATTCTGAAAAATATTGAGAATCAGCTTTTCTACTGGACACTAATAATATAATAAATTTATTTTTGCCTCTGATTTTATGCTGTTCTTGCTACCGGTGGTATTATATTGTTGTTTTGACATAATGCTGCCCAGAGTCCATTTGGCTTGGTCAAGTAATGCATTTAAATAAGAAAGAGAGAGAGAGAGAGAGAGAGAGAGAGAGAGAGAGAGAGAGAGAGAGAGAGAGAGAGAGAGAGAGAGAGAGAGAGAGAGAGAGAGAGAGAGAGAGAAAGAAAGAAAGAAAGAAAGAAAGAAAGAAAGAAAGAAAAAATTATGCTCTGCTTTAATAGTTTTGTAGTCCAACTATAAAAGTCCATGTTTCTGCATATTTATTAAACTATCAATGGATATGGCAGTAGAAAAAAGATATCTTTAATTGATCTTGCCATCAAAATAAATGCTTACAGCACCAATGAATTCAGAGTATTCTAGAAAGAGAAACATCAGCTTTAAATTTATCATCACCCTTACTTCCTTTCCTTGATTGTACTTTTTAGTTTTGTTATTTGTGGTTGTCTTTTGGTGACACAGGTTTGTTTAAATAAAAATGCAATGCTTTTCTCATCTGTTTTCCTTTTAAATTCTTTCTCCGAGGTCTTTTAGAGGAGATTCATGAGCCGTAGAAACAGAATAGGGTTTTCTCTACCCCATGGGTTCTTCTCTTTTTAAATTGTGGATCACATTTTTGCCTTTAGGTGTCAGGATGGATTCTCTGGACCACGATGTGCTGAAGTTGTACCCATGAAAGTCCATAAATTGCCAAAAAGTCCACAAAGTATGTTTTAAAATAAGATGAAATCTGTTTTCTTCCCAAATTACAGCAATCAAAATCGCTATCATTTGATGTTTTCACTCTTCAGTTTAAAATGGGATCTTTTTCTTTTGCCTTTGACCATTCTGTGAAGATTTGACAGCACCAAACACCTATTATTGTTTTGGTAATTGCAACAATTTTTTATTGCTCTGGTTGTCATTGCAAGTATTCTTATTTAGAATCTCTTTAGCCTTAATTTTTAAAAAAGCTGGTTAGTGTAAACATTACATTCAAGTTCACTGACTAATGACAATATCAAGTTGTCATTTCAGGTGTTGTACTTTTATATTTACTAAAATTAATCACCTTCCTCCTTAAATTGGTATTTGTGAAGCCATTGTTTCTTCAAAACTTTTTCAGGCTCTTGGCAATAAGAAACAGGCCCAATTTCTGAAGATGAATTCATCAAAGTTCTGGCTGCAGTCACTCAAGGAGCCTCTTAGCATATAATTGCCTCTTTTTCTTTTTCTCTGTTTTCTCTTTCTTTTTCTTTTTGTTTTTACTCTCAGGTGCCCAAATGAATTTACTGGTGATCGCTGTCAAAACTACGTAATGGCCAGCTTCTACAGTACGTCCACTTCCTTTCTGTCTCTGCCTGAATAGGAGCATGCTCAGTTTGGTGCTGCTTTCTCCTAGTCGCATCTTTCCTCAGATTTTCCTTTATTACTAAATGGATTCCATGAACCTTAATCTTGATTGCTTCTGCCTGTTTGCATGGTAATGATTGTCAAACCAATGTCAAAACTTCAGCAAAATTAGAATAATAAAAATGAAGGTGCGTGTGGGGGAATGATATTGATTCCAATTAATAGTTGTTCAATGAGCTAAATATGAACATAAGGCTAAATATCATTACAAAGCTATAACTATCCAAATGTAATCTAAGTAAGATATTTCTGAGCAATAGTCATGGAGGAAATTGGATATAAAACATGTTTTATATTATCCTTATCAAATATAATCAATGAACAGTACTGAAGAATATGTGGCCTGAGGAAAATGGTTCTAGTTATTTTTTTAAATGTCCAATTTAACATAAATAAGAGAATGCCATTTATATGGCATACATGTCACAATTCAGATTTATATATTGAATTGCAAGGTTAACTGATTCTTATTAACTGGATGTTAATATACTCTGCTTTGCCCATATTTAGTAGGGTTCTAAAGAGCTATTACAGAGTTAACCAAGTCCTTGGGCAGACCTAATGAGATTTTGTGAAACAACCTTTTGTAGTCTGACTTCCTATAGAAATGTTATAGGTTCCCATAATTCATAACCAGTAAGTCCAAAGCTAAAACTGGCCATGAGATTACACTTTATGACTGCAGAGTTTACCATAGAGATTTCTTACAGTTCTATGCATATCCAAATATTTTTGATTAAGTTGTTAGTGGAATACTAATGCTTTAAGAGTAGTTTGAGTTTGAGTTTAATAAAATTTGTATGCCGCCCACTCCCATTGGGACTCTGGGTGGCTCACAACAAAATAAAAGCATTTTAAAAATTCAATATTTAAAATTAATACATCATTCATTCAGTCAAGTGGGGCTGGATATTAATCAACAGCCCCAGGCCTGCCGGAACAGCAAGGTCTTAATCGCTTTGCGGAAGGCCGGGAGAGTGGTAAGGGTCCGGATCTCTGTGGGTAGATCGTTCCATAGGGGCGGTGCAGCTACAGAGAAGGCCCTCCCT